TTTTATGAATTTCCCTCATATAGAAGTTATTATCAAGCTTAAATTCGACGATAAAATCGTTCAACTTGTTTCTCTTTTCAAGATAAAGTCAATATTAACACTTCGAGGACTTTGTTGTGTGCTGCCGCATCGTATGGGGATTTAAAGTTACACATCAACTTTATGGATTCCTAATTCATTCAGTTCGGATTATTGCTAATCGATACATCGGTAACTTTGCACGTAATTAAGTAAAGAGGTGTTAGTCAGATGTAAAAAAAAACAGCAAAATCAGTCCTATCTTAAAAAATACTAGCCCCGCCCACCCGCCCTCAAGATAAAGGGCGGGTGGGCGGGGTTACTACTTGCCAAGATAAGACTAATTTTGGCAAATGACCTCCTCTCTAAGAAAATAAAGGGTGGGTGGGAGGGGGTAGTACTTGCTAAGATAAAACTGACATTGGCAAATGGCATACCTTCGAAGAAAATAACGGGTGGGTGGGTGGGGCCAATACTTGCCAAGATAAGACCGATTTTGCCAAGTGATATACCCTTTACTTTCTTCGAAGGTATGCCATTTGGCAATATCAGTTTTATCTTAGCAAGTAGTAGTAGATTCAAACACTTTACACTAGAATTTAAAATTTTAGGTAAATAATTTTTAAATTTTGTAAGAATGAAATCGTGAAAAGGAAATCGTGAAGAAAAAATTGAAATTTTTGAAAAATCGACTCAAAATTCTCCAAAAATTCTGGGATATCGATCGATCTCGTCGAACAAATTTTGTTTCTTTTTTTCATTTCATAACACAAATACCGGAATTTCATTCTGATGAAAATTTAAAAATTATCTACCTAAAATGTTTTAAATAAAGTCCTCTTTCTAGTACAGAGTGTTTGAAACTTTTAATATTTGAAAAACAGAACACAGGGGACCCCCGAGATTCTTTCAAAATTATTTCAAAACAAGATCCACAGGGGCTTCGAGATACTTTCAAACAATTTCAAAAACAAAACAAGAACGTTCCTCGAGATTCTTTCAAACTACTGCAAAAACAAAACACAAGAGGCAGCCGAGATTTTTTCAAACAACTTCAAAATCACAGCCCCTGTGGTCTGCGAGATTCTTTCAAATTACTTCAAAAACCAGACGTCAGGGATCCATGAGATTTCTTCAACAACTTCAAAAACAAAACACAAAAGGTCCTGAGATTCTATCAAAATTATTTCAAAACAAAATCCACAGGGGGTTCGAGATACTTTCACACAATTTCAAAAACAAAACAAGAACGTTCCTCGAGATTCTTTCAAACTACTGCAAAAACAAAACACAAGAGGCACCCGAGATTTGTTCAAACAACTTCAAAACCACAGCCCCTGTGGTCTCCGAGATTCTTTCAAATTACTTCAAAAACCAGACGTAAGGTATCCATGAGATTTCTTCAAACAACTTCAAAAACAAAACACAAAAGGTCCCGAGATTCTTTCAAACTTATTTCAAAACAAGATCCACAGGGGGTTCGAGATACTTTCAAACAATTTCAAAAACAAAACAAGAACATTCCTCGAGATTGTTTCAAACTACTGCAAAAACAAAACACAAGAGGCACCCGAGATTTGCTCAAACAACTTCAAAACCACAGCCCCAGCGGTCTACGAGATTCTTTCAAATTACTTCAAAAACCAGGCACTAAGGGATCCATGAGATTTCTTCAAACAACTTCAAAAACAAAACACAAAATGTCCCGAGATTCTTTCAAAATTATTTCAAAACAAGATCCACAGGGGGTTCGAGATACTTTCAAACAATTTCAAAAACAAAACAAGAACGTTCCTCGAGATTCTTTCAAACCACTTCAAAAACAAAACCCAATTCTCTAGATTCTTTTAAATTACTTCAAGAACCAGACATAAGGGATCCCCGGCATTTTGCCAATTACTTTCAAAACAAGACAAAAGACCTTCAAACTACTTCAAAGACAAACAGAAGGGCATCCCAAGGTTCTTACCAATTGCAACAAAAACAAGATCCACAGTAGATCCGGGAGATTCTTTCAAATTATTTCAAAAACACAACCCCCTGGGGATCTCTGAGATTCAAAACGTCACACTGAAAAAACATGAAAATTTCAAAATTGCACCGTGGGTCTATAATTAAAGGAAAAGTTCAAAAAAACGTAAAATCTGTTTCTAAATTCACTTTTAGATCGAAAAATTGATCGAAAGTTATTTGGATAACACTTCCCTCACACAGTCCAACAAATTTCGCTTCTTTGATAAATTATAAAATTTTATTTTACATTTTATTTGTGATAACTTCTACACATAAAAAATCTGGATGTCTAGAGTAAAAAATCAAATCGGATTCATAAACCACAAATGTACGAGGGTGTTATTACACTCATATAAAGTTTAAATCACATTTACTATGTAACATTTATAAAGTACAAGGTTCGTACACTGTCAGCTTAAAGAAAACAAAACAAAAAAAAAATCAATTCAAAGTACGGCATTTCAGCGTACAGGGTAAAAACCGGAGGCGGATTCATAAACAACAAGAACGAAAGTAGGTTATTCTCGTACGCAATTTAAAAAACATCTACTGTGCAAGACTTTAAGGTAACGTTATCAGATTGTTAATGGGGGACGATTAGACAAATTTTGGTAGTCTTCATGACACACCTAAAATACGTATAAAATTTGAGAACAATCGGTCCAGTAGTTTCGGATAGTATTTGTCTAATAAAAATATCCACACAAACAGACAGACGAAACGGGAGATTCATTTTTTCATACTCTAGAGATCATGAAACGTCGAGAAAACATGAAACTAGGTCTAGCTAACGCTTAGTAAATAGACCCTGTGATTTGGAAGCTGGATTGAAGTAACTGTTTCAAAAAGTCCGTGATTAAGTCTCTAAGAAAAAAATATGACGTACATACATTTTTGTATGGATAATCCGAAGTAGTGAAAAATAGAGGAAAATCTTTAAAACACAGATAAAGAATTATAAAGATTATATAGCCTGTTATTGAAAGGTACGTACAAAATAAAAACGGCAATTGGTCTCGAAGTATGGGTGCTAAAAGTTAAAAAAAGTTCAGGTAAAAGTGTTCTCCTTTTAGAGATAAAAATTATTAAAATTTATGTCCAAATTCGTTGTACGCCTCTGATAAAAAGATCATCTTTCGTTTCTATAGCAACATTTAGTGTTGACAAAAGTTTTATTGTTACAGTTGCTAGGATTTACTAAAATAAATTAATTTTACCTATTTATCCTTCAGTAGCGTCTAAAAAGATTGGATAAGGGTTAATTTTCCCCTTAAAATTTTGATAAGACAAAATAAGTTTTTCCGACTTCTTAGACTTCGCGAAGAACTGTCCATTTTGTTGTACGTACCTTTCAATAACACCCTGTATGTATTTCGAGTGACATCTATAATGACAAAATTATAAATTTTAGTTTTGACATGTTGATAATATACAGTCTTCTTAAAAACCACTAAAGTTTCGAATGTTAAAATAATCTACAAAAATGTATCACTTTACAAGATTCTTGTTATGAAAAGATGACTACGGATATTAAGAAAAAAAAATACAAAATATAAGCCCCGCCCACCCACCCTATCTCAATTGTGATGATTTTTCTTATTCCTCGTAAGCAATCCTTATTTTTTTTTACGAGAAATTACCATGTGACACATGTTCTTAAGTAATCGTGTTATTCAAACAAAACTAAATGTATTAAGTAAAAAGAAAACCAAAGATAAACTCCACTCATCGGTATTTCCCTACAAAAATTTACCATTTTAAACATGTTTTAAGTTCTTTGTTGTGAAAAGAAAACTACACATATTAGGAAAAAAAGACAAAATGAAACGTCGAGAAAACATGAAAGTAGTTCTAGCTAACGCTCGGGAAATAGAGACTGTGTGACGTCGAAGTTGGATTAAAGTTCAAAAAAGTCCGTCATTAACTCTAAGAATAAGAAAAAAAAGACACACAGACAATTTTTTTTGTTTAGAAATGGATTTGCAAAAGTATGAACTGAAATATTATAATTTCATCTCACTTTTTTTCACAACACCCTGTATTTGATGACTACATTTTACTCCATTTTTTCTTTGGTGTGTCCGTTTAAAATATGTACTTGATAAAGAAATAAAGAAAAAAAAGTAGACGAAATTATTTTAGTTTTTTTTTTTAACTTTCTGTATATTAAAATCGCAAACTTCTGTTTATCTATCCATTAATCTAACCTTAATTTAAGCAATTATGAACCTAACTTGACTCGGCTTGACCTGACCTGACCTTCCGCAACATTGTTAAAAATTAAAAAAAAAAATGAAATAACTTGGTAACGTCACATCAGAAATTCAAATACGAAATTAAAAAATCAAAAATCAAATTTATACTGTTCTTTGAAAAGTGTACGCGTTTTGTCTTTGAGACGCAACAAACTTACTTTTTTAAATGAAACATCCTGTAGAGTTTCCACCTTTTCTTAGACTTTACAGACTTATTTTAATTTTAAAATCCGACGCGAGGTTACCTTGATTTTTTTTCGTTGAAATTTTTTAACAATCCAACAATTCGCAGAAAAAACGCAATATCGTTATTTTTAATATCTGCGCCTCAATATTATACAGACAGATAAACAAAGACATAAGCTTTGTTGAGGCATGAATAAAATCGAGTCTTAATATACAGAGTATTTATAAAAAAAAAACGGCGGTGTTTTAGGTTCTTTCATTCGATATTGGCGAGACCATTTTTTACTTTACATTTTTTTATAAATGCACGGTACAACAAGGCTCAATTTTAATGACACTACAACCAAACGCACAGTTTAGTTTATCTATCCAGAAAATATTGCGACTCAATTGGGAAAAATGACACTAAACTTGTTGCACTGTTGGAATAACTCAAGAAAAAAATTGATCCCGACCGAAAATCCTTTCGTCCAGACTCCTTTTTTTTAATTCCAAACAACCCTGTTTGTTTACTATCGCTATCGTTACCTTCATCGATATCGTTCCTCGCCGCCGCCTCCAGAAGCACCACACTGTCGTTGAAAAAAATGCTCCTCTTGTTCGACTTCTGCTGCTTCGACGTCTTCCTGCTGAACTCCTTCTCCTTCTGCGTCCACACCTTCAGCTGCTGGTTCCGCCTTTTTCGCGCCAAAAGCAGCCTCTCCTGTGTCGGCATCTGCTCGACGTGGGGCATTTCCAGGATCAGTTCGGAATGCTCCATTTTGGCGTCGGTGCTCCTCTCTCGCGGAAATCACATCAAATCCTGGAAAATACGACCGGCTTTAGAGACGCTCCGGAGACACGGCCTCAGCTCGGCGCTATCACACACTGGCCGCTGGAAGCGGCGGATAAACGCAAAGAATAATAGCGCAAACACCACGGGCTTAGGTTAAAGGGAGGAAGACGGCTAATTAAAAAGGGCCAAATACGCGACGGCACGATGGAAGATTTAATTAATTATGAAGAACAATGCGGCAGATGGGCGAGTGCAAACGACAAGTTTTTTATTGAGGGAAAATTCGGCCGATCGGGGGCGGGGAGCGCGATTTTGGCGGGGTTATGGGGTGTAATGGTGATTTGGGGTGCCGCTGTGAGAGTGATCGATTTACGACTAATTTTAGCTTATCGCGAAAGCTTTTGTTGTGGGAAAAAAAGTCTTACTGGACGTAAATAGCGACGGTTTTTTTATAACTAACTATATTGTGATAAAATTACGCTGGTTTCATCATGATAATGTGTTTTTTGTTTTTAAAATTATTTTATTTATCTGTTTTTACTGGCTACGAGGTGTCGGACACTACGTTAATGGAAGAAAGTGTCATACTCAACCACCAAAGGACTAACCAAAGTGGGTTTTTTAACCCTCGAGAGATTAAATAAAAACCATTTCAGTCCTGTCCTACTCACACCATTTTTGTTCTCCCCGTAATTAAATTAACTTTAAAACAAACTAGTTTCACAACTCGGAATGAAAGTCTTTGATAACCAACGTTATGTAAATTTTGAAACTATCTAAGGTAAGGTTGTAAACAAAGTCAACCACTTTAATTGAAAATTAATTCTCTTGAAACTCAAGATGTGGAAAAACCCATAATTACTCTCTAGTTCAACAAAGTTCAAAGAAGATTTGAATAAGCGGTGCAAGCAAATGCAGGAAATATAATAATCGCGTTTTTTTCTCAAAAAACGACTTACAAAAATTACAATTAAACTCAAATTAAATTAAAAGGGTTTCATTTCCGTTGGGCAAAAATCGAATCAGAATGAAATTAAAACGGATGATAAATGGGTTGAAAAAAATCGATAAGGGCTCATGAACACGAATTTTAATGGTTATTTAAGCAGACGGATTTACGTCGATGATGCAGAGAATTAGGGTCAACAGCATTATTTACCATAATATTACACTAAAACCGGAAAAAACATTCAAGTAGAAAAGTTATGAGTAACGTTAAAAAAATATCACTATAAAGTTCTACTATTGTAAACACAAGTATGATTTTTTTTTCCTGACAGTTGAAAAAAAAAGAAAAGTTTTGTTAATTTCTTTCTTAGGATAGTATCATATTTCTACTATTAATTTATTCAGCAACTTCTTAAAACGTTACACTAGACGTCAATTTACAATGTTTCTATGATCCTAGGAAAGTTCAGAAATTTACATTTTTCTTCTCGAGCGTAAGTAATTTAAAAATGTCGGTGTTCCGTTTCCGTCTGTCTCTCTGTTGTGTTGTCGATTATACTGAGCAAATAATCCCCGAAAATACTGGATATATTTTAAGAATATCATGTGGATAATAAAACGTTAAATAAAATTTGAAATGTTCAGGATACCATACTACAAAATTAGGTTTCGCGTCTGTCTGTCTGTCAGTCTGTGGCGATTTTTTATTAGATAATCTTCAAAACTACTAGACCGATCGTTGCCAAATTTTATATATATTTTAGGAATATAGTATAGATGGTAGAACATTAATCAATGATGACGTCATCCAGATGTTTTCAATTTTATATTAACAATATCTACGAACGTTGTACTTATATATTTTGAACCCTGTACTTTATAAACGACAAACCCAGTACTTAATAAACTGCGTCAAACTTTATAAACGCCTTACTTTATAAACGACGGACGCCGTATTTTGTAGCTCTGAACGCCCTATTTTGTAAATTTTGATTGACGGCCTTTCGATATTCCTATATCTCGCTTTCTCGATTTTTCAGTTCTCTAATTTTGCAGTTTTTCGACTTTTCTTTTTCGATTTCTCCGTTTTACAGTTTTCGATTTCTCAATTATTCAAACATTTTAATTTTGGTATAAAATTTTTCCAAGTTTTGAATTTTTGATTTTTCGATTTTTTAAATTTTACGTTTGTAGATTTTTCGTTTTAGTGAAGTTTCGATTTCTCGCTCTTTCGATTTTTCGACTTTTTGGTTATAGATTTTTCGATTTTGCAATAATTTTTCGATTTTTTAAATTTTTTTATTGCTTGTTTTCTCGATTTTTCGACATTTCAATTTTTCGATTGTTCGATTTCCCAATTTTTCGATTTTCCATTTTTTCATTTTTGGTTTTAGATCTTCGATTTTTCGTTTTTTTTTTTTGATGTTGCGATTTATCGATTTTTCGATTTTCGACTTTTGGTTTTTCGATTTTTCAATTTTTCGACTTTTCTTTTTTCGATTTTTCGATTTCTGGGTTTTACAGTTTTCGATTTTCCCAATTTTTCAACATTTCAATTCTGGATCAATTTATCAATATTTTAATTTTTGGATTTTTTGATTTTTCGTTTTTGCTATTTTTCGATTTTTCAGTTTTCCCATTCAACTTTAGAGTTTTTCGATTTTTTAAATTTTACGTTTGTCGATTTTTATTTTTGTAATGTTTCGATTTCTCGATCTTTCAATTTTTCGACTTTTTGGTCTAGATTTTTCGATCTTTCAATTTCTTTTTTTTTTTTATGTTTCGATTTCTCGATATTATGATTTTCGACTTTTTGTATTTCGATTTCTCAATTTTTCAACATTTCAATTTTGGACTAATTTCTCGATCTTGCAATTTTTCGATTTTTTATTTTTTTTTTATTGCTTATTTTCTCGATTTTTCGACGCTTCAATTTTTTGATTGTTTGATTTCCCAGTTTCTCGGTTTTCCATTTTTTCATTTTTGGTTTTCGATCTTCGATTTTTCGTTTTTGTCATGTTTCGATTTCTCGATCTTTCGATTTTTCCACTTTTTGGTTCTAGATTTTTCGATATTCAAATTATTCGATTTTTAAAATTTTTGGTTTCTCTTTAAGTTTTTCCCTTTTTGGTTTTAGATTTTTCGATTTTTTGTATTTTTTTGTTTCTATTTCTCAATTTTCAATTTTTGTATTTCAATTTTTCAATTTTTCGACATTTTGACTTTTCTTTTTCGATTTTTCGATTTCTCGGTTTTATAGTTTTCGATTTCTCAATTTTTCAACATTTCAATTTTGGATCAACTTCTCAATATTTTAATTTTTCGATTTTTTTAATTTTAGATTTTTCGATTTCTCAATTTCTCGATTTTACGATTTTTCAGTTTTCCTATTCAATTGTTCAATTTTAATTTTACATTCATCGATTTTTCGACTTTTCAGTTCTAGATTTTTCGATTTTCCAATTTTTGGTTTTAATTTTTTTGATTTTTTTAATTTTTTCGACTTTTTGCATTTCGATTTTTCAATTTTTCGACTCTTCGACTTTTCTTTTATCGATTTTTCGATTTCTCAGTTTTAGATTTCTCAGTTTTACAGTTTTCGATTTCTCAGTTTTTCAGCTTTTCAATTTTGGATCAATTTTTCAATTTTTTTAACTTCAGATTTTTCGATTTCTCGATTTCTCAATTTCTCAATTTTACGATTGATTCCTCGATGTTTTAGTTTCCTACTCAATTTTTCAGTTTTTCGATTTGTGAAATTTTACGTTTCTCGATTTTTTGATTATAGATTTGGTTCTAGATTTTTCGATCTTTCAATTTTTCGATTTTTTGAATTCTCGAGTTCTGGACTTTTCGACATTTCCATTTTTCATTTTTTCCACTTTTTGGTTTTAGATTTTTCGTTTTTTTTCTTGATGTTTCAATTTCTCGATCTTTCGATATTTGACTTTTAATTTTTCAGTTTTCCTGTTCAATTTTTCAATTTGTAGCTTTTTTAAATGTTATGTTCGTCAATTTTTGGTTTTTGTGATGTTTCGATTTTAAAAAAAATTTGATTTCTCAATTTTTCGATTTTTCTAGTGCTCGATTTCTGATTTGTTCGATTTTTTGGTTTTAGATTTTTCGATTTTTCTTTTTTTTGATTTTTTATATTTTAATTTTTCAATTTCTTGATTTTCCAATTTTACGAGTCTTTGATTTTTCTTTTATAGATTTTTCGATTTCTCGGTTTTACAGTTTTCGATTTCTCAATTTTTCAACATTTCAATTTTGGATTAATTTCTCGATATTTTAATTTTGCGATTTTTTTAATTTTAGATTTTTCGAATTTTTAATTTGTAGATTTCTCAATTTCCCGATTTTAAGATTTTTCGGCTTCTCGATTTTTCAGTTTTCCTATTCAATTTTTCAGTTTTTCAGTTTTTTAAATTTTATATTTGTCAATTTTTCTTTTTGTAATGTTCAGATTTCTCGATCTTTTGATTTTTCGACTTTTTTGTTGTTAATTTTTTTAAATTGTTTGATTTCTCGTTTTCTGGACTTTTCGACATTTTAATTGTTGGATTTTTCAATTATTCCACTTTTCTTTTTTCGAGATTTCGATTTCTTGGTTTTACAATTTTCGATTTCTCAATTTTTCTACATTTCAATTTTGGAAAAATTTTTCGGTATTTTCATTTTTGATTTTTTTTTATTTTAGGTTTTTCGATTTCTCAATTTCTCGATTTTACGATTTTTCCCTTTTCCTGTTCAATTTTTCAATTTTAGATTTTTTATTTAAATTTTACATTTGTAGTTTTCGTTTTTGTGATGTTTCGATTTTTCGACTTTTTGGTTCTAGATTTTTCGATTTTCCAATTTTTGGTTTTAGAATTTTTGATTTTTTATTTTTTTCGACTTTTTGCATTTCTCGTTTTCTGTACTTTTCGACATTTCGATTGTTCGATTTTCCATTTTTTGGTTTTCGATTTTTGTTTTTTTTTCTCGATCTTTTGATTTTCGACTTTTTGTATTTCGATTTTTCAATTTTTCCACTTTTCTTTTTTCGAATTTTCGATGTCTTGGTTTTACAGTTTTCG